AATATCAAAGCATATACATTAAGCTGGGGAACAAATGTCTAGGTCCCATGAAAATCAGAGCATATCCAAAGTGAACATATTCGTTCTTCTTAGCGAACTAGCTGTGAACATCAAAGCATATGCAAAGTGAACTAGTTTTGATTATCCATTAATTTGGACCATGAAAATCAACATATTTCTTCTCTTTATCCGTCTGTACCATTAGTAGGTATAATATACAACACATGTAGGGGAAAAAGTACCGTAATTAATACCTGGTATGTAGAGAGACAAGTCGCACGTTCATTTCAATGCTGGGCAGCTTTTGCAGCTTTTTTTTTCTTGTAGTGTTCATTCTTATCAATTCATTCTTTTAGCTTAGCTAGTGCTCCTATCTTCAAAATCTTGCCACATTTGGCCTAATATTGAGACCACTCACTCCTTAAAATGTCTTATCGGTCTAAGGCTTGATGGGAAGTGAGGTTACATTAATGCTGCATTCATGGCGTGACATAACTTGTCACCTGAGTACTCATACACAAGTAACAAACACATAAAACTCACAAAAGAGAGTACCTAGTGTGCTCCATGCTAAATAACCTAAACCAAAACCTAATTAATTCAACCTAATAATGCTTTTTAAAACAAAAATAAAATCAAGTAACGAGCTTAAAAATATCACAAATAATGAGTTATCACACCCTCATACTTGAACAATTACCCGTCCTCAAGTGATGTGACATATGATATCATAATTAAATAATAATTAAAATAACTCTAGTTCAACATCACATTTCTTACAATCATAACTTTTTTATATCAAACAACACTATCTCAACATTGGCATAACTCAATCTTTATCATATATTATCTCATTTGGTGTGTGCACATGTATGTGTGTGTATGTGTGTATACATGTGTGTGTGTGTGACCTATGACGCCATATGTCATGCCATAAGTCTTCTTTGAAGATAATGATCCTAGATCCTAGTTTAGTTGCTCTATCATATGGTCTCAGGGTTCATTTTTCAATTTTAGTAGAGGGATTAACTAGCTTATGGTTATGAGGCTTTTTAGTTCTTGTGAACTTGGGAATTCTATTTGCGCTACTTTTCCAAGTCACTTTTTTCTAGGCGTTTCACCTTTTCACCTAATGATATCTCACTTTTAATGAGTCTAACCTATTACTCAGAGTGAAAACATTTTCATTTATTTTTGCACAGTTTTGCGTGTTTCTTTTTTTTTTATAAACATATATTAAGCATGAGCGAACATGATTCAAGAGTCAGCGTCTAAAAGAAACCATCCCATCAGTCCAAAGCTAACCATTGCAAGGAGAAGTAAATTCCAATATCCGAAAGATAGTTCAAAAGGTGAAAAACATAATTCCCCTCCTCAGAGTCTGGATGGAGACCGAGGTAGTCACGCTCCATCCCTAGATTGTGGCGAACAACATCCGACCAGGGTGCAACTTAAGCATACCTTATGTGCCTGGATCTTAGAAAGAAATATCCCTAAGTCAATTCAAAATCCTTATAAGTTAGGAGAGTACAATGGAAAAGGATACCTCGATGAGCACGTCCAACTCTTCAATGACTAGAATAACTACTACATTGTCGACAAAGCTTCCAAATGCAAGCTACTAGCATTAAAAATCATTGGACCATCTAGATTTTGGTACAATGCCCCCCCACCCCCCACGCGGTTGCATTAAATCATGGACGGACTGTTGTGATAGGCTAACTGTTCACTTTACTTCCTAGAAGAGGTAACTAATTACTATAGCTGCCATGAGTAACATCATGCAATGAGCGAAGGAGAGCCTATGATCATATATTGATCGATTCACTCAAGTTGAAGTTGAAGTAGAGGGAATCATTAAAACCCTCAAATGCTAGATTTTAGAAAGTGGCCTCCTTCGCGACCATTGTTTCCATACAAAACTAGGAAAAAATAAGTTACAAATGACTAAAGAGATGTTAGACCTAGCTCAGTCGTACATAAAGTTATAAGAGAAGCTAAATACTCGCTTTGACAACTCGGCCTCGACCACTGACATAAGCTCCAACCACCGGTCTAGGAAGGAGACCCCTCAGCAGAAATAAGACGCTAAGATGGGTATGTATGATTGGTATGAATAATACACACCTTTGAATACTTTCCGAGATAAGATTTACCAAGAATGCAATAACACTGAGTTTCGGAAAGTAGGAATCTGACCCCTTTTCCCTGTTTCAGATTCTTCCTGAATAAATAAATCAAAGTACTATCACTTCCATAGAGGACACGACCATAAGATAGATGATTGCGTTCAACTTAAGGATGCGATTGAAGCACTAATTAAGAAGGGCTGATTGTCCGAGTATGTCAAGGGCAGCAAGCGAGACCGATAAGAGTATCCTAAAATCAACTCCCATATAAAGGTTTCTGAAGCTGATCCCAATAGAAAAAAATTAGGGAAACCAACATGGAAAAATGCCAATATATCACTACCATTACAAGCGGTGCACCCCAGGCAAATATCCTTTCCAAAGAGACGCTCAAAAGGAAAATTGCCGAGATTATGGTCGTTTACAAAAACGAAGGTGGCTCATCTTCCAAGATCCTAGACCGAACTATGATAGGGTTTTGGGACTCTGAGAAGGTTGGGAGAATTTCTAATGAATATTTTCCCCTGGTAATCATGGAACCCATAAGACATCTTGATGTATTTCAGGTTTTTCTCGACGAAGGAAGTTCATAAGATATCTTCTGATCTTCGTTGTTTGAAAAAATAACCTAGATAAAGGAAGCCTAATACCATATGACGACTCAGATCTGGAAGCATTTAACATGATAACCACTCGTCCCTAAGATATGTGGAACTAATCGTATCCGTAGGAGAGGAAAGAGACCTCAAATTGATCAACACTCAGTTTTTGTTGGATTTCCTAGCCTTGTCCTTGCACTTAAAGCTCAAATATCATAGCCTTCATGGAGAAATATATGTCTTGCACGCCGAACTTAATGGGGAAAAAATATACATCATGCACCCTCGAGGGACAAGGGAGAAGGGATAACTATGGAAATTAACATGGCCTCCATCATCTATCAACATCAAAGCATGAACCTACGTATGCCAAGGAATAGCTAAACAAAGAGGAGGCTTTGCGACATAAATAAAACGTGGAAAATATGTTGGGTTATGCTAAAGGTGTGAAAAGTACACAAGAAAGAGATTTTAATTGTATTTCACGTTTTATTTAGTTTAACTTCTGATTAGAGTTTCAAAATAAAAACTGGTGTTCAGATTTTGTTTTAATTCGTTGGCAGCGGATATAACAGAAGTAAACAAATAAAAGCAAAAGACACAAAAGATTTATCCTGGTTCCTTCCCTAACTAAGAGTACTCAAGTCCCCTTGCTCACAAGAGATTTTTATTATAACCACTTCATGATTACAATCGCTTATGCTTATGCATAAGTCTTTTACACTTGCTTAGACCAACTGTCTGAGACTTTCTTGCTTAGAACATACGTCTAAGACTTTCCTTGCTCACACCCTCTGACCAAGCCAATTGCTCCAAAGGTCCTTTGTTGAGACTTGGTTAGAGCACATGTTTAAGACTTCATACTCACGCCCTTTGACCGAGCCACTTGCTCCAAAGGTCATCCAGGATGATACTTTTCCCTGCTCAATCAGTCTAGTTGAATAAGACTTTCACAACTCAAGCACTTAAGCAATGAGACTTACATGGCTTAAGCATGTGGGCTCAAGACTTGTTGCTTGAATCCCAATGATATAAGACTTCTTCTCAATCACGTTGAAAGTGACTTGATCTAAACTACTGAAGGCTCAGAAGAATAGAGAACAAGGTTTACATGATACAAGCATCAGAGGCACGAGCAATCACCATAACAAAGACCTAAAGCTCTTAAAACTTCTAAGATATTCAATGATACGAAATCTTAAGGATTTTAAGATTACAACCTACAACAGAAAATCTGCATATTACAATAGAGTTGATAATTGCTTGATGTTGATACTCCTTCATCTGAAGAATCCTTGTTAAGATTCAAACTTGAATCTTCATCCATATTTATATCCTTTGCAGAAACTAGCCGTTGAAGAGGTAACTTGATCAAATGTCTTTGCCTTTACTCCATAGTACAAGAGACATTGATGATGGATGCACAACAGATTCTGAATCCAGTGTGTAACACATTTAACCTTTGAGCCTTCAAGAGGTTCTCGTACTAATAGAGCCGTCGAAAGCAGATATCCGTAGGGCATGCCAACCTTTCTTCAGCCTTGCAATCTTATAGACTTTAGCCGACAAGCTGATAAGACAATACAACTTGCTTTTTGCAGTACGGACAACCACAACTTTATCATCAACTCTGAATGGTACCAGATGCTGATATACAATTACCAAGTGTAGTAAATCGTCTGAATGCTGAGGCCTTCAGCTCAGAGTCTGTGCCTAGCCACAGTAGCAATTGTTATTCAGACTCTGCCATCAGAAACTAGCAATGAAACAACCTTGTGTGTGTGTGTTGTGTGTGTATATGTGTGTGTGTTTGTGTGTGCTTGTACATGTGCGCATGTGTTTTTTTTGTGTGTGTGTGTTTCTTTATGACTATATACATTAATGATGAAACTGTGATGGAACTGACACAATTGAGGCCCATGATAAATATTTCAGGGGAGTTTTCGAAGACACTTTGCATGTCTGATTATAACAATCAATTCTCCCTAGAGGAGAGTACACTTAAATATGTCAGGGGAGCTTTTAGAGACATTCTACACGTCCGACTATAGCAATCAATTCCTGCTAGCAGTGAACACAATCAATTCCTGCTAGCAGTGAACACTCTACCAGGTGGCAGTGACGGAACTAGACTATAAAGCTTGAGGTGGCCACGAAATTAATCTATAATTTATAAATTAAATATTTATACTATAATGTATATAAAATATCTAAATTATAATAAACACATAGTTGAACATGAAATGATTAAAGAGTATTACATAAAAATACCTTAAAATAATGCTCTACGGTTTTTGAGTAGCTTGAAATCATCAATAATAGTCTCGGAATCAATACTTGCATCAATTTCTCTTTCAATATTAACTGTCATGCTATCTCTTAGAAAATCAGCTTCCATTTTGTTTCTCAATCTTGTTTTGATAATTTTCATTATCGAAAAAGATCTTTCCATAGTAGCTATAGATACAGGCAGAGTCATGATAAGGCAGAGAAGTCTATCGATCAAATAATAATTTTCCTTCTTTTCAGTTGCAATCAAAGATGAACATAACTCTTGAATAGTCGACAAATTATTCAAACTCGATGCTTGACGAGTGTCAATAATAAAATGCCGAAGTTGAAATTTCAAATTAATCTTCTCTTTCTCATTGAAGTCCATAGGATAATATTTTTCAACTAGAGTGCAAATTGTATCAAGGTTAAAAGCCTTGTAATTATCCTTGGGAGTCAAAACACCACTTATACTTAACAAATCAATTGCTTGCTCACTAAATCTGCTATTCAACTCTTGCAATTGTTTGTCAATGGGAGTGAAAAATATTTCAACTCTAAAATAATGCTCAACGGTTACCTGGTTATCTTCAAGACGATGTCCACCAAATCCTGTTGTTGAACGAACATCATTAAGATCATGAATCTTAATATCATGTTTTTCACAAAAAGACTTCACAGAAGCAAACAGTTCATCCCAACCAATTTCTCTTAATTCTTGAATAAGAGTTTTTGTTGTACTAACCAAATGCATAACATTAACTACATCTTGAAATTGTTGATGTAAAGCTTGACAAAGCATATTTGTGATCCCCATAATTTCTTTCATTAAATGCAATATGAATATGAAATCAAATGACTTCAAATAATTATAAGCACTATCAACATCTCCACCTGAAGCATACCTTAATCCTTCCTTTACAAATTTTCTTGAAACATTACAAGTTGCTTCATACATATTCATTAAGCTAGAAATAGAAGAAAAATGTGATCCCCAACGAGTATCCCCAACTCACTTTAAAGTATCAATTTGATTTTCACCTTTACCAGTTACAATCTCACCAATCTTTAATAAGTGTTCATTTTCATCTAATTGAGAAGCTTGTAACTCGCCGTGACACTTTGTAGAAGAACAAACAACATTGAAAATTAAAGTAAGCTTTTCAAAGAATTGATGAATTGGTTTAAATTCTCTTGATGCAGTAACCAAAGCAAGTTGCAATCGATGAGTAAAACAATGAACATAATATGCATAAGGACAATCCTTCATAAAAAGTTCTTGTAAATTGTTCCATTCTCCTCTTATATTGCTAGCACCATCATACCCCTGACCACGAATGTTGGAGACATCAAGGTTATGCAGAGAAAGTATATTACAAACTTTTTGCTTAAGAGTTAAAGATGTTGTCACTAACACGTGCAAGACCAAAAAATATCTCTTGTATAAAACCATCTTTATCAACAAATCTCAAAACAAGAGACATTTTCTCTTTTTTGGATTCATCACACGCTTTATCTACAATTATACAAAACTTGGAATCACCAATTTCTTCACGGATATACTTTTTCACCCTACTTGAAAGAATGTGCAAGATCTCTTTTTAAATTAGATGTGAAGTATACTTGCTATCAGATGGAGCATTTTCCAACACAACTTTTGCAACTTCATCATTGTAACCTGCTAAGAGTTTTATCAATTCAAGAAAATTTCCTTGGTTTAATGATTCTGTACTTTCATCATGACCTCTAAAAGCACACACTTGAAAATTTAACCAACGAACAATGTCAATTGAAGTCTCGAGACATAGTCGATTCTTCATAATTTTAATTGAACTTTGAGCTTGAATAATATTCCTAATGTGACCATCTTGATTCAACAAGTCTTTACAAGCTTTCATAGCATTGTTATGTGGGGAACAAGGATCTTTCCCTATGTGTTTAAGAAATGCACACTTCTTTCCATTTCTAACTTTCTTCCAACCTCTAAAACCTGTAGAAAGGAAAACATCGGAACCAAGACGCCCACTTGGTCTTTTTCTAAAAAGATAACATGGTAAGCAATAAGCAGCATCTTCTGAAGGTACATATTCTAACCATGAAGAAAAAAGGCTAAACCAAACGTGTTGTAAATGTCTTTGATGGTCTTCTTTACCAGACAATGGATACTACTCTAAATTCATTTGATATGAACCCCATTTTAAATAAGCTCTTCGTATTTCATCCATTTGATTTATTGGATATTCCCACATTGAAGGACGTTTTCCAGGATCACGTTCTAAAGAATTCTCAATGTCATCCGAACAAACTCTATTAACATTTTCTTCAATTCTTGGATTCTTAATATCTCTTGTAGGTTCAGACATAGATGTTAAATTCTCTTCATCTCTTTCTTTCCTCTTGAAAAAAAAAAATTTCTACTCTTCATTATCACTTTTGTGCTGCATAAGCAATTAAATAAATTAAAACAACACAATAAAATTCCAACATAATTCAATTTTACAAATATAAATAAGTTAGTAACTTAGTAATAATTAGTAACAAACATCCAACATAATTCAACATTTTAAACTTAATTCTACATTATGCTACATTAGCAATTTTTATATAAGAGAAATGCTACAACAAATTAAAATAAGTGAATATTAATTTAATGACAATAAGCTACAACAATTAAAATAAGTGAATAACATTAGTAAGAACAGTTCACAAGTAACACATTATACCAAACTATAGTGTTTTCTTTTCATAACAAATTGATTATGCTGTAGATTACTTTTTGTGAGAAAACTCAAAGAAACTTGTAAACTAATAAGTAATAATAAAATAAAATCTAAATTAATCATAATGAAAACAAGAATTTTATATATTATGTGGATTTAAAGCAATTTATTTTGAACAATTTTAGATGAAGAATATCAAGATGAGCGAAACAAACTCACGGGGATCTCTGGTGGCGGCGTTGGTGGTTGGCCGAACAAGTATCGTACCGGTATCGGCAACGCAATGACGTGGATTTTTTAGAATTTGTTTTTATGAAACTTGAATTGAATGAGAAAGAGAGGCTGCATCTTTTGGAATGAGATAAATTAGGGTTTGTTTGATTAATAGTAAAATGACAAAATTGTTATTTTTTATTATAAGTAAGGCTATTTTAGTATTTTCACTATATATAAAAAAATTTTAAAAAAAGTTTGGGGTGGTCATATGGGCCCCCCCTGTCCCAAGCATATTCCACCACTGCCAGGTGGATCACTTGATTGTTTCTACTGCCAGGGAAATCGAACAAAGCTATATCTTTGCTTACCTCTTTCAAAGAGATGAAAGCCTTTTGCAGATCTCTTAAGTACGTATCTCGTTGAAGATTCGAGTTGTTAACATTCCTCACCAACCAATGCTTCTCGTTACACCCATTCGTTCGAAGAGCTTCCCAGCAGCTGGACTCGCCTAGAGTTCGAGCAACAAAAGCTTGCTTAGCAAATCACGCTAGGATTTTCACCTCTTCCCCTAGAGCATGTTAAGAAAGATTGGCAAAAAAGGCCACATTCATAAGGGATTCCGGAGAAAGCGAATATTCTATTGCAGTTCCAAATGGATGTAATCCCCGCTTCAAAATCTGGACCTTAACTTATTCATTTATCACATCTACACGAAAACATGATCGTTATCCAGACAAGCACCAAAAGAGGGAAAATCAATATCGAAAGAATTGAGTAAATTTCAAACTTACCAAATTTAATCCGACGATCCTCGTGAGAATCGACCCCCATCAGCCATAAAATGTCAATCAGACACTTCAAACGTTTCCTATCGGCCTTAGCCGAGGGGACTCCGCCTCCAAGACAACCCAAGCTATTAAAAAAACATAACAGTCTTTTATTTTGATACGAGTCCTCATTAGAATAATCCCACTCTTTATAAACATATGTTCCTTTCTCTGTGAGGAAATGACTTACCGAATAACAATGAGGAAACAATGGCTTACATTTACCCCTACTAGTGGATCGGCCCCACAAATGTTCGCATGAGCCAAGGGATCAAGGGGAGTGGCTTGGAAGAACCAATTAACAAAGGGAGATAACTCTGGAAAGTCTTCAAATTCTCGCATCGCCAACACCAGGGAAACTGACTCCCATTCCCTTGGTCGGATCGAGGAACCGCAGTGGCAGTGGAAAATATGAAAAAAACAAGGTGATGGAAGGTTTCCCATTCAGATATTCACACAAGTATTGGGAAGCCCTTACATATGCCCAACTCGATGGGTGGAGTTGTGAAGAAGCCATCATCAAGTGATTAAAAAGGCCAACCTCAAAAGTAGTAAATGGTAAATGAGCACCTAGGGTTGAGAAGTGATATTCATAAAGAGAGACAATGCATTTGTCATACTCTCTACATATTCTATCCTCCTTAGTAGGGGTTGTGAAACCCTAATGCGATGGTTCCCCCACTTCATGAAAAACTTTATCCAGGTTTCCCTCCTTGGAAAAAATAGACACGATGGAAAAATAAATAGAACCTTCCCATGGAAATGTCGAAGTAAGGGTGATCGGTCACCGAGGGTAAAATTCTCTAATCCTTCACCTTGCTACTCAATCATAAGAGCTTAGGGGGCAGCTATTCTGGACCAATCATATTTACCTTGGACCAACCAGCTTGAGATAACCCGTTATAGGCCAAAGCCTCTTGACCGACTACATGGTTGTGTTTCTAGAGTCTTCTTCTTACTTTAGGACTATCCTATACCTACCTACAAGAGATTACACCTCACACATATCTAACGGTCCTCCGCTTTCGACACCCGAAAGATAGCAAGGTCGTTATTTCTCTCCCATTTATATAGCGAATGGTGCCGAATCAGTTAACGAATTTTAAACACAATTTCAATACTATCTACTCTTTCATATACTGACTTAAGCTTTAGAATTCTAATCTTGCAAGTATACCCCCTCTCACACGCATCAGAAGCTCTACTCCATCGCAGCTTCGACACCTCTATCTATTTCTAGTTCTAGAATATAACAAGCTCAATGATTCAATTTTAGATCTTCTAGTTTTCTCTCACTCTTCTCTACTTCCTTCCTTATTCTTCTATTCCTTTGTTATTCTTTTCCTCTCTTCCATGGCAAATCGAGTTTTCTAACATGGTATCTTGAGCCATTGCGATTTACCTGTAATCATGCTTCCTCATTTAGCTTCAATTGATACATAAATGGCTCAAAGAAGTCCTTATTATGTTCATCCTAGTGATGAACCTTCAACGGTCAATATTACACCGATTCTCGAAGGTTCCTATTATCATTCTTGGGCCAGATTAATGCATCACAGACTAGGTGGTAAAATGAAGCTTGAGTTCATGGATGGGTCTATAGCAGTTTCAGAAGATCAATGTGATTCTTGACTTCGTGCATGGAATATATGTAATATGTTAGTTCACTCTTGACTACTTAACTCAATTTCTGAATTGATTGCACAATTTATTGTGTTTATGGAAAATGCGATTGATGTTTGGAATGATCTCAAAGAGATCATATTAGAGTTTCATAATTGCAGCAAGAAATCTATCTTCATTCCAAAACTATCACTGGATTTTATTTAAATTTAAAAGTTCTTTGGAAAAAATTGAAGATTTACATACTAACTCTCAACTGTACATGCCACATTCGATGTACTTGCAAAGCTATGAAACAAGCAAGAAAGAATCATAACTTATTTATCTAACTTAAATGAGAATTTTGCTGTAATTAAGTCATAAACAAGATTTTCGTCTTTCAACATGAAAGACAAGAAAAATTCATAATTTTTAATGACTCTCAAGTATTGATCAACACATTTGTATACAAGAAATTCAATTTCAAACAAGCTACTTCTCAGCATAATACTTCCTCGAGTTCTAGACTTTAGATCAGTTGATTGATTGCATTTGCCGGGTGTTTGAGTTTCAATGCGACACTTTTTTTTATGTCCTCT